GACCACCACCCGCCGCACCACCACCACCACCACCCGCCGCACCACCACCACCCGCCCAACCACCACCATCCGAACCACCACCCCGACAACCACCACCACCCCCGAGCCCACCACAGCCGTCCCCACCTGTCCCCCCGGGACCCTGGAGCGGCATGACGAAGACGGCAACCTGGTTATGGGCTCCAGTGGGGTCCCGGAGTGCATCCCCGAAGAAGGTAACTGTCTTCATCTAACGGTGACCCACGTCACTGCCTCGCTGCCTGTCAGCGGGGGGTCCCACAAGCTGCAGGGAGGGGGGGCAGAGGGACAGAAACGAGGGGTGTTTCTAATCCTACAAGGTTTGTTCAACAGCACTGTGCCACAGCCAGGGTTGTCAGAGTTAGCAAATAAAGATATTGCACAGGACTTGCTTACAATATAAATTACTTGTCATTTACCTAAAATTCAAGTGTAAGTGGGCATGCTGTGTTTTATCTGGCAGCTCTTTCCACAGCCCAAGTCAAAAAATTAGCTAAAACATGGGACATTATTAGTGTGGACTAGCATTTCCAAAGTGTGTCCCTGGGTATCAGTAGGTTAGTATTTGTTAGATAGAAAGATGGATGGATGGATGGATGGATGGATGAATGGATGGATGGAGATAGATATGTAACCTATGTCTATGGCTCTGTCAGTAGCTGTGTGATTTAAACAAGGTTAAATGACTTTCTTCCTGTTGGGCCATTCGGGCTATTTTTCAGTCTAATGGTGAGTTTCCGGGGAAAGTTGTTCCTGGCACATTGGGCAGGGGGACATTTTTTGATCAGCAGGAGGGGCTTCCACTGGGGGAGGGGACTGTACCAGCTCCCGGCTCTGGGACACCCACTCAGGCCGTGCTCTGTCCCTGCGAGTCTTCCTCCTGACAGCGGAGCTGGGACCCTCAGGGTCAGAGCACGTGGAGCTGAGACGCATCATCTCTGCGGCTGCATCAGGCGTGGAGGAGGCGAAGTCCTCTTCTCCCCGCAGGGAGAGGTAGATTGTGTGTCGGCTGCAAAGCTCATGTCTTTTTAAGCTACTGCAGCATGAGGACCTTCCTTTCAGCCATCATTCGCAGACCTGGGATTCTCTCACAGCACCGCTGACCATGCCAGGCTCCAGTCAGTGTCGACTTGAATGCCGTCCCCGAGGGGGGCATTGTGTTTGAAGTCCGTCTTTGCACGAACAAGTTCTAAATAACCCGACTGCTTCCCCAATAAATAATACAAAAGTTAATAATATAACGATAAACTAAAAGCCCACCCCAAGAACAGGAAACATCCGAGGAAGAGCATCCGGAGACAACCTCCCTGTCCATCTGCCCAGTGCATGTGAGCTAGACTCACCTTCGGGTTTCTGGTACCAGCACCTTCCGTGCGTTCCTTGACCTCATCTGCATGCATTAGCGTCTCATCTTTAAAAACTGAGCTATAATTAGAGTGTCTACTTAACAATTAGCTGTAAGCAGAAGAGTGACTACTTTGGATTTCGCTTTCATTGCCATTATCAATATTTTGAATTTTCTTTTGTTGCTTTTATAGGCTCTATTGCTGTTCCCTCATTTATTTTGTATTTTTGGCCTCTTATTTGGCATGAAAGTGGATATTTTTCTTGGCATGTTATTTCTCCTTTTCTTTGCAAATCCTCATATATACACAGGTGGGCAAAAGTAGGTTTACAATTGTGAGTTCACAAAACACAGTTTATCCTTATATTATTAACTTTTGAAAAGTGCATTCTTTAGATAAGATTACAATGTATTACAATTCATTACTTTAAAAAAACAGTTGACCTTTAACACGGGTTTGAAAGCACAGGTCCACTTATATATGCAGATTTTTTTTCCAATAAAAACTATAAATGTATTTTCCTTATGATTTTCTTAACATTTTTTCTCTAGCTTACTTTATCATAAGAACACAGTATGTAACAGATATAACATACAAAATACGTGTTAACCGACCATTTGTGTTATTGATAAGGCTCCCATCAACAGTAGGCTCTCAGTAGTTACGTTTTGGGGGAGTCAAAATATACTCAGATTTTGACTGCATGGTGGCTGGGGCCCCACCCGCTGCGTTGTTCAAGCATCAACTGCAATTTGAAGATCAGTCACAATTACTCTAGGAGATCCTGTGCGTTGTCTACAACATGCAATCGTTTTCCCTGTCTTGGCTGGACACCTTGCAGGGCCTGGATGTGCCAACACACCCTGCGCGCTGTGCTGACACAGCGGAGACGCTTCCAGAAAGGGGCTCTGATGGCAGCGGAGCCATGTCCTGGGTCTCCCCGACCGAACTGCAGGACCACCCGCCCCACTCCTCTGCTCCCTCTGCTCCGAGTCTGTGTGCTCTCACACCCTCTCTTGTGTTGTACTGAGCATACAGTGCGCACTTCCAAGGCCTGAGGTCCGTGTGGGCACAATTAGTACTTACCAAGCACTTTGTTTATTGTTGTGATAATTACGATTTAGAACCAGCATTAGTGATCAGGGAATGCATATCTGCTTATCCAAGCCCCACCCCCCACCCTCATCTGGTGGACAGTTGTCATAAGCCATTGGCAAAGTCCTCAAGTGTAGTTTCTAGGCCTCCAACTTTACAATCTTCTTCTCAGTCTCAGGTCGTGGCTCCCCTGGTTAAAGCATGCCCCCTTTTCCTGGAAACATGCGTTCAAGTGACGTTCTGGGAATAACCTGGATCGTGCAGCCATCCCAGCAATGCAGGTGTTTATGTCCTTTTGCGTTTGTCATGGATGCAGTCCCTGCGTGTGTCTTCCTGTGGGCATGGATGCAGGTTACACGCTTGTTTCCAGCGTATTGCTTCTTCCACGTCTCCCTTCTCTCCACATGCGCACACACACATCCTTTTTACTTGCTCTGACTGCAGTAGAGAGCGTGCTTTCCTCCCGGTACCTGATCCTTCATCTTCGGTATCTAAACGCCACCTTGAGCGAGAGGCGTTCTCCGTTTCTACCTGCGGAGTAAGAGCCAGTGCCCGTGTGCTTCAGGGTCCCTCTCCGCAGCGGGTCTGATGAGGTCATGTGTTTGGCAATGGGAGGCGCCAGCTGAGCATCTCTGACCATTTGTGGGGCCTGTTTCAGAAACACAGTCATGTTGGAATGGCCCCACTGGCCACGCTCACTCCCAAGACAGAAAAGACGAAGAGGATAATAAAAAATTCACTGGAGCTGGACCAACCGTACACTTTGCAAATGTCCTTGGTTTCAAGTGACCGTCATTCACCTCCTCTCTGAACTTCTACTGAGAATCGTTTTTATAGTTTTCAAAAATATCTCTGGAGCTAAGGCCTCATTCTTGGAGATATTTTGCACTCGTTTTTTTTTAATGGCCATTTGAATAAGTCACTCAAGAGAATAAACCAGGGGTCTTCAAACTACGGCCCGCGGGCCACATGCAGCCCGCCGAAAACATTTATCCGGCCCGCCAGCTGTTTTTGCTGCCGCTGTGTGCATAGGAATTTGTTCATAGTTTTTTTTTTTTTAAACTATAGTCCGACCCTCCAACGGTCTGAGGGACAGTGAACTGGCCCCCTGTTTAAAAAGTTTGAGGAGCCCTGGAATAAACCATCCACCATGGTTGGTGGCTGGCAGGTACTTGTACATGAAGAAGTGGAAGCTTTTGACATTGGAGCAGGGTTGTCTCATACAACATCCACTTTTACGTAGTTCCAAGTGGTTGAAAAGGCATCAGGAGGGGCAAATTCTGATGCTCAGCTTGAAAAATAAATGCACTGATGCCACCTTGGAAGTAACTTTACTTGGAATCAAGATGGTGCTATTTTGGAAAAATCTGCCTGCCTTTGCTTGTTTGTTTTTTAAAGAAGGAGCACTGCATTACTCAATATGATGATTACTTTTGCCAGAAGACGGAACTGTTGCTCACCCGAATAGGAGACCCTGCTTTGCGGGTACCAGGCACCATTTCTGTGACCTGCTGCTGGGCTGGGGTACTTCAGCGCCTCCAGGAATTGTACTTCACCCTGGGCATCCACGAAGGAAACCCTACACTTTCCCTTCCCTTGTTCAGTCTGAGATTCAAAAATTATATGACTTATTCATTTGTGACTTGGCCAGAAATAACAGTGAAAAGAAACGGGTCTGAACCGATAATGAGGAAAAACAAGACTCTGTTCTGAACAGTTCAATGGACGAGGGAAAGAAAGAGGCGTTTCTGGAAACAATGGCAGGATGACCTCCAACGCTAGGTGCCCTGAACTTGAAAACTGCTCGACTTGACGCAGCCCAGGAGTAATTCCTCTTGGATCCAGGCGTATTGACATTGGAATGACCGAAGGGAAATCATGTCTAATGGTTTTTCGTGAAACGACCATTGTGAGCCCTGAGGGTGGATCATTCGCTTCTCTCTTGCGGACACCCATGGGCCCCATCAGAGCGTGCCCGGCGTTAGTGCCGAGAGGGTGAAGTGGGTGCTGGGCGTCCCTCAGGCCCCGGGGGCTTCGGGCTTTGCCCTGTGTTCCTCGGAAGGGCCGGTGGCCAAGGTCCTCTGCTGGCAGGGTTTGTTTTGGCGCCGTTGCATTCATGATGTTATCCAAACCAGCCTCAGAGGAGGCCAGTGGGCTGAACCCTGGGGAATGATCAATGAGTGTCTCACAATGGAAAGTTCAAATTGGTGCCTGTAATTTTTTAGGGGAGGGGTTTATACAGCTTCCACTTCACCTGCTCCTTTATTAAGCTGTGGAATGGTGATTCTAGTAGCACAGCTTAAGGTTTACAAGCGACTTCATGGCTTAGTTGAACATTTAAAAAGTGGAGACAGTTTATGAAGGATAAAGTACAGTCTTTGGAGCCAGAGGGTTTGAAGTTCAAGTGCAGTGTTAGCTCTGCCTTCGCCAGCTGTGGGGCCCCAGGCACATGTAAGTCCTTGGTGTCTGTGGCTGCCAAGCGGGTATGAGTCCTTGCATGTATCTTCTGAGCAAGTGCAGGAGGCCCTGACTCTGAGGACTTAGGCCCATGAACCCGCCACGGGGGGAGAACCATTGTGCCCTGGACACGGTCCTGAGCCGCCTGGGAAGAAAGCCCGGAGCCCCGGTGACCCTCTCTCCCTTCCTCTTCCCTAGATGATTTCTCAGGATTGGAGACGGACACAGCCACACCCACGGAAGAGGCCTATGTTGTCTATGATGCAGGTACTAACTGGTTTTAAGCACATTATTGGGATAATTTCTTTCCTGGTGGGAGGACCTTATTTTAATCCCTAAGTGGATGTTCTGAATTGCAGTTTCCTTCAGAACCCTGGGGCGGTGGCCAGGCTTAGGAAGGTGGTTGTACCCCACACTTCTAAGTTACCCCCAGTACATATTTGATCCAAAGAAAGAGTGTGCGTGATTGAAAATACAGCTTCCAAACAAGTCC